TCGCTCTCTTTCTCTCTCTTTCTTACTGCTAATTCTGTGTATATTATTATACTATGTGATAGATTATATAAATTGATATCTCGAAAACTATATGCATCGTAGTTTATAACGTTTCTGATTTTCTGAAGTTTCGCCAATTATGTTTATGTTATGACTTTGACGGGTATGACTTTATGGTTGTTTACATTACTTGAGAGCTGTTTTGGTTTGTTTCGCGTGGAAAATGTATGCTCGGAGGCAGCAAGTTAAAAATGTTGAAAAAGTTGGTAAACTTTAGAGTCGCAAAAAATCCTTTTGGTATATGTGTTTTTTATCCAAAAGGAACCTATTCACAAAGTTTCACCTAAATCTGAGCATGTTTTCGGAAGTTTCGCCGCGTTCTAAATTCCCGATCAATTAATCTCTAAATCCTGAAATTAAACCTATTCTCAAATCTGTGACGTCATCAATTATATAGATATAAATCTAACGACATCTTTAATTGAATCGTAGGACATTGGATTTTCTGCAGAAAAATTAATTCTTAATTTAATAATTAATTTTTAATTGCTCGAACTAGTAATATGTACTTACTTAAATGGACATGTACAAAATGTAAATTTAATTAGTTATAATTATTGTTACGGTCTGAAAGATGATCAATGTGACTTCACTGTTTGCATATGTGTATTAGACTACTGTAGGATGAGCTAACACATGTCTCGAATATAAGTATATACGTGAATTTCTATGTCACAATGCACAAACTCAGAGCGATGCACATCACGTTCGTCATCACTTTCGCTTTCTTATGTGTCTTTCGTTCCTTCTTTCCTTCCTTCCGTGCTCCTTCTTTCCTTTTTTCCTTAATTCTTTTCTTTCTTCCTTCATTCTATCCTCTCTATTCTTATTATCACGTGATTCCAATCCGGGCAGGTCTCCGTTGTCGCCTTTCGCATCTTTTTTTCTACAAAGATGCCCAAAAAGCAACGTAATATGAGCTATGCCTAAATTTTTCGGTTTTCTTAACGCAATTTTCGGTAACGAACTTTAATCCTAAATGGTAAATATCTTAAAACATATTTGAATAACGAATAATAAAAGAAAAAACAAATTTGAAAACTTGGTTCTTTAAATGTTCTCTAAATACATAGGAATAGTTTCTCTTTGATCTGATTGTTCTTAAGGGGTAACTCTAGAGATTCGAAAAATAGAAGAATTTTTTATGGTTAAAAGAAAAAGTAAATAAAAAATCTATTTAAAGGACTTTATTGTACATATCTTAAAGTATATGAAACAATTTTTTATTTTTTAAATGGCGGCGCTGGAGCCTTGTAAACGTAAGCGTATTATTGCGGGAGGTGCTCCGGAGCTTGCAGCATAAGTGTCGCAAATTTTGACCTGGAACAAAAAACAAAAATTTTTCATAATCTGCATAATAATAGCTAGAGAAATACGTAGGGGATTTTTTAAATATTGCTATTTCTATGAAAAACAATATTTAAAAAATCCCCTACGAATTTCTCTAGCTATTATCATGCAGATTATGAAAAATTTTTGTTTTTTGTTCCAGATCATGCGGCAATATTATGCTGCAAGCCCCGGAGCACCTCTCGCAATAAAACGCTTACGTTTACAAGGCTCCAGCGCCGCCATTTAAAAAATAAAAAATTGTTTTATACACTTTAAAATATGTATAAAGTCCTTTAAGTAGATTTTTTATTTACTTTTTTTAACCACAAAAAATTCTTTTATTTTTGGGCCTGTAGAGTGGTGTTACCCATTAATTATATCGAGCTTTATCAGAAACATAGAGATCAGGTAACGAAATTTAAAAAAATTAAATAGGCGAGTCTGAGACACGCTTCTATTCTTTAGGATTAAAGTTCCCACATGATCGAAATTGCAATTTGTAAAAGGGCAATTTCAAGATCGATTCCAAGACTCCGTGAAATTCCAATCAATTTCGTTGCAACGCAAGATTGCATGCTCACGCACATGCATCGCACGATTTAGCCGTTTCACGATTCCCGCCCTCCCCCATGTCTTAAGTATCGCACCCTTATTCCACGGTTCTTTGCCGAAATTCTCCGGGCCAACCGCGCTACTGGTCGATCGTCCCTTCAGCACATGCTTTCTGTGTTCTTCTTGTACTTGCAATTACTGCACTACTCACGCGTCTAAACACGCTTCGGATTTACCGCTCCTTCTCTTTCTATATTTTTTTCTATCTCTTTTTTACGAAAGTCTTTCTTACCGAGGAACTGTGGTACTTTCCATGAGTTTTCAACATGTCGTAAAAAAAATGTTTAATAGGACGATAAAAGACTTTTATTTTGATTCGAAGACAGAGAAGTGAAAAGTTTTACAATAAGATTACGGAAAAGAGTTGATACAATCGTTAATCAAATCTCTTTGTTTAATTATTGAGTTATATATTATTCAAATCAAAATAATATTTACATTAGAAAATGGGCAAGTTTGTTGCGAGTATACACTTTAAGTCCGAGTGTGTTATATTAGCTGAAGCTCTTCTTATACATTTCTTTCCGTTTTAAATCACGTCATTTAACACGATTGAATGTATTAACTTTTAATTAATACGATTAAACGTGTTAAATGACATAATTTAACACAGAAGAAACATGTAAAAAGAACTTTAGAATGACACAAATGTGTCATTTTTAGACGTTTATGCGTGTAAAAATAACACACTTGTATTGCAATGTAATGAAGTAAAATATAGCGATTTATTAACTTACAATTAGTGTTCAAACGACGTGACAATTCTTTAAATAAAAAATTCTTTAAATTCTTTTTTTCTTAAATAAGAACGGTTGAGAACTCGTGTTATCTCTAATTTTTTACCATAGTCCTCTTTAGTACATCCTAGACAGAAAAGAGACAAAGTTTTCTGGCTATAAAACGCTCCTCGAACGATCAATATGTATTCATATTCATAACTTACGGTAATGATATTTTAATCATTAATTATCTGTCATTACCTATTGCAACGCGTTGCTATTGAACTTGCGATCGATCTTGTCATATGATACGTATTTACCGCATATGATACTCGCAACGTTTACATTAACCCGAATTAAACGCGCGAATCAATAATCGATATTCAATAGCAACATTTTCCCTTCAACCTTCAATATTTATTTAGACTAAATTTATGCAAAATTCTAAATTTATATTGAATTATTTTTTCTTCGCGCTTTCTACTTATTCCTTTTTCTTCTTATTAACAACTCTTCGCTATCTTTTCTGTCCTTTGCTGTTGAAATTAACTTTTTTTTTGTGGTAACATCATTCTTTCAATAATATTACCGATATTGACGGCAAATATTGATTGTTTGAGGATCTTCGACATTTTAAAGGCCATACGTTTTAAAATATAAATGTAATTCCGAAAGAACATCTAATTTTCCATCCCTTATGTGTAATCTGTATAATTTTTATATTAATTGGATAATTTCGAAAATATGTGGTCCGCACAAAGATTATTATATAATTATGGTCTTTAACGGGATGTCATAGTGGTGTACAATCTTGAACAGTCCACGATTAATGAATGAAAGGTTTAGAGACAAATCAGACGGGAAAAGGAAACAGGCGAGAGATATCAATCGAGTATAACTTTTCATTTTATTACCATCGGAATTCAAGTGCAGATTCCTTTTGAATGTAACGTCGCGTAAAATTTGTATATGATGTATCAGTTATCGATCGTATCGTTACATAATGATCAGCTAGCTGATGATTTTTCGTAAGCGACTAATACAGTGAGGCTCGCTACGATCTAATCGAGCGAGATGTAAAGCAAGGATACCGAACGGGGGTTGTGAATCTCGTGCGGAACTACAAAACCCGACGCGACGAGAGATTGTGCACCACTCGCCGGTGAACTTAAGCCGCACAACCGCTTATCACGCCCACACCCCACACACCTCTGTGACCGAAACCCGAACTGATAATCCGCAGGGCGAGTCGAATGAAACGAGGATAGCCGTGGCGAACCAACGTGCGCACGCCCTGCTCAAGTAAAATGCGTCTTCTGTCTGTCTCCATCCGTATCCGCCTCCTCCGAGCTCTACAAGTTGCATATCACAGAGACGCCGTTTCGAACAAAAAAAGAAAAGAGAAATGGAAATTATACCACGCGTACTCTTATGTGTATTATACGTAGGGAGGCCTGACATTCGGATCTCGGGGCTGGGATTATTCGAGGCGCGAGTGAAGGAATAGATGTTAAGGGGGAATGCCTACCTAGAAAGTTCGAAAAAATCGATTGTTTAATTTTTGCATTCCAAGCAAGGTGGAGGACTTATATCATAGACCTGGAATCGATGATTCTATGTAAGTTGAAAAATTTCGCGATTTATTCATTGCTCAATTTTCAAACGCGTTTTTCTCGAAACCATGTTAAAAATCGGTGACCAAAATATCTCGGCAACCGCTGAACCGATTAATTTGAAATTTCTAGTGGTTATTCTATACATAATTATCTAGTCTTTGTCGTAGGATTTTTTTTAAAATGACTTAGTTTTTTTTATCGGCAAAATAAACCCGAATTTTTCTCTAAAAATCGCTATTTTAAATTCAAATGCCCGCCATTTTGTCAAAAATCGATATTTTCAAAAACCCCTACGTCAAAGACTAAATTATAGTGTCAATTTTAATAATCTTTTTGGTTTTTTTTATTCTGATGATTACAAATGAAATGGGAGTGGTCACCGCGGAGAACCTTTTTTTTTGCGGCAATCGACAGAACCCAAGAATACTCCGCCAATATTGAATATTTTTTAATAAAAAAAATTTAACATATTCTTAAAAGTGTGTACTTTCATGTAGAAAAAATACCAATACCATAATTCATATAGGTTTCCTTAAAAAAATTCACAAAAATTGCCTTTTTGTCGCGCTTCTAGGTAGGCATTCCCCCTTAAGTGCTAAATTAAAATCCACGCGCTTAGGTATTAGTCATCGAATTGAATTATTTGATTTATCGAGTAGATTTAACGCATAGCATTGTATACGCGCGCGAATATTATATTATGCTCGATTTGCCGTGAGTTACGTCACCGTACATCCGACTATAATATTTAATTAATCAGAATGGCCGAGGGGATGATAATATTACAATTGGAACGTGATATCTAGCTGTCGAAACGTTTGGAATATATCGGATTATTCGAATATTCTCAGCTCTGCGAGTGAGTCCCCCGTCCATCATCCATTCCCTTTTTGCTATTTTCTCGTCGTTGCCTGGGCACCAACCCGATCCGCAAGCAACCTATGCAACAACGGAAAACTACCACCACCAAATATAACTACCACTTCTACTTACTTCTATCACCATTACTAAGCTCTCCGTCGATATGTACGACGATATCTATACAGTGAACAGCCGCTCGATAGCCGCGATACACGAAAGAGCTTCTTCGTGGGAATGGCCGATCTGGTATTTGCATAGCCGGGATCGCGCGAGGAATATATCTTGCCAGTACTCTCGAAACTCGTAAATTCGCGAAAAATCTTTATTGAGTCAAATGCAACGATGGTCTCGGGGTTTGTTTTTTCTTGGTCAGAGAAAGATCGGCTCCAAATTTGTCAGAGAGAATTCGTCGCTATAATAAAATAAACTCGAAGTGCACTTCGTGCATCTCGAAGTCGATAGAAGGGAATTTGTCCTTTTAATAATTGCTGCAATTAATAATTAACTTAATTGCGATCTAATATTCCTAAATTTTATTCTTCATTGTCTGAAGAATAATCCTGGACGATTTATAAATTATCTCTCGAGGGATATTTTATTTCGACAAGGAGAAACGTGATATACTTATGTATCGTGGCTATCGCAAGCGGTAAGAGCATCGCACTGGGATGTGTCATCGCTTCCCATTGTTATAACACATGTTGTTACAAGACCCATCACACGTGCTGTCATTCTCGTTGTGATTGTGTCACGAACGGGCGTCATCGTCGCTGTCGCCGACGGCTCCTGGATACTCGCCGCGGCCATGTTGGAATGTAACGTCAGAAGTGAGAAATGTCACGTTGAAAATTCTTGCATGGTATTTTCAAATAAACAGATATTTGCTTAAAATAACACTACAGATCACTTCAGTACATTTCAAAAATACTCCGAGCTGGATCCCTTTCTCTTGACAGTTATTAAACAACCGTAAAACGAATGTGATACGATGCGGGATTATGCGCAGGTGCATGACTAGGTTTCGTATTACATTCATTTTGCTGCTGTTTATTAATTGTCAAGGAAAAGGGATAGACCTACCCTAATCTCGGAGTATTTTCAAAGTGTGCTGAAGTGATCTGAAGTTTTGTTTTAAGCAAATACCTTTTTATTTGGAAATGGCATGCAAGAATACTCAACGTGTCAATTCTCAACATTTCTCGCTTTTGACGTCACAGTCTCGCAAGATGTCGGGAAAGAGCCCAGTAGTGCGATTCTCGTTATGCGTCGTTATGTTCTCATAACGACAGTTGCGCAGCTTTTTTATTATATAGTATACCTACGCAACTGTCGTTATAAAATAAACGCACATAACGACAGCATAACGAGTTACAGAATCGCACTACATGAGCCTTAATTCTTTTGAACTCCCGGTATCGGGACCGCACCGTTCTCTGTCAGTCGCTTTCGCTCCGATGTTCCCCGAGGTTGATCAGGTTAACACGCTTGACACGTCGCGAAAAAGCAGAAATTTTATCCCGACGGTTTGCGCGGAGCCGCACGACTCAAGTTGATATGTTCGCGACCGTATCGACTATTAGCCGTGTACGGTGTACGCAGGGAGAAATGAGCCTGAGAAATGAGCTTCGGGATTCTTGGAGAATTTCTGACACGTAGTCTTCCTGAAATCGCGCACGAATGGAAAGAGATTTTGCGGCGGAAACTTAACGCTTGTTTGACGCGTGAAAATAAATCTCGCTATAATGACGGACGGTGTTTGCCGTAAATAATTTCAAAATAATCTGCGATGAATTTATGAGACTATTTATAAAAATTTATCAAAAGAATTACGCCGATTATAAAAGGGATATTAAAACAATACCTACTCACAATTTTATTTTAAGTTTTTATTTCTCAAAAATAAAAGTTTCAAATGTTTTATCTGATAAGCGGTTTCGACGGAGTAAACTTATTTGCTAAACTAAAAAGATGCTCTACTGGCACCGACGATGACAGGGATGTATATATTATATTTAAGAAAAATATTTTTAATATTTGGAAAATTTATAAGAGAGATTGGAGGTGCTTCGATTTAGATTCCAAATACGAAAGTGCTTCAATGTTATCACTAATAATAATAATTGTTTGCATATTATTCTCTTTTTTTTAACATTGCGGAAGAAATCTTCCTCTCTGTTACTACTAGAAGTTAATCTGTTTTTCGAGTATCATGACATTCTTACAGTATAAATAATTTAGGTCTTTACACAACTTTATGCATTCTGGATCGAATTTAATTTAAACGGCGGTAAAAAATGACAGAAAGAATAAAAATCCTACTACATTAAATAATTTTTAGATAAAGATAACATTCCAGCAAACACAGAATACACCGAGTGCGCAATTTGCTATCAAATTGCGCACTCGGTGTTTTCTGTGTTTGTTGGGATGATTTTTTAATCTAAGATGAAGATGAATATATTTTGTATTTTTTTCGTGTAAATAAGATAATACATGATTCTATTTCTTTATCTAGATGATCATCTGGATAATTTTATCTAGATACTGGCAAACACTGAATGATGAATTATCCGATGTTATCTTTTTTGTTAGCAAGATAGGAAAATATCGAATAAATTCGCAGCTGAAACGGAAATATCAACTAGCAAACGCGTCTCGCTGTCGCTGCTTCGGTGTGGCGGAATAGAAATCAATTTGTCATTATAGCGAAGTAATTTTCGAATGAGATTCTTCTTAACAAGCTTTATTTTATTCGTCCCCGGCGTGTAACACGAAATTCACTGCGTCAGCGCAAAAAGGCTCCGCAGAACATTTCATCAAATTGACATCCCCGCAATCGACCCCCGTTTCTTCGCGCGCTAACGAAAACGCATCGACGTTACGAGCGACAAATTTTCCAAGAATCTCTCAGTTGTCGTAAAATCCTCAAGAGAAATAACGATTCCGCAGCGTTAAGCGGTTCCAATCCCTGGAAGAGCCTCGATCCGCATCGTCGATCGACCCTCGTCGTTCGCAGCTTGCATATATGACAATGCGTTCTTGTTTTTTCTTGTTCTTTGACACGCAGGGTGAATCAAACGAGACGAGGATACAGGTGGCCAACGAGCGAGCCCATCAACTACTCAAGTAAGCGGCCACACTCTCTGTCGACTATCCGCGCCCCGTCGGCCGCCACGAGCGTCACCACCATCACCCTCCACCACCACCACCACCACCACCAACAACAACAACAACAACAACAACACAATAGCAACAACAACAACATCGACACCAACAACAATCAGCACAATTACATTCGACAGTCTACTCGATCGTTTACTCGCGATCTATAATCGCGTTACGTCTGTTAGAACGTTGTTTTTTCGTTCATCTTCACCGATACCGAGTACCGGCCGGTACTTTTCGAGCTCGGTATCGTCAGAATATGTAATACTTAATGAAAATACTTAACCCTAAACTTGACTGAGTGGATTCTGTAAACTATAATTCTCAGAATTTCGTAATGTCCTTTTTCGTTCGTAATAAGAGATCGTTTGAATCACGCGTCACATCGCCATAGGCGTCTAAAAATCATCGCGACGATATGTAAAGGGACTTGGGATCTTTGGGACGTTTTTCGGATTTTTGGCACAGTTTCTTAAGCTATATTATATTAAATTATAATACACTCCGCGAACGATAATGCCGAGAAAATCGACGTGAAAGAAAAATAAACGCTGAATTGGTTGTCGGTGAACTGGTGAGTATCTGCTCTGCATTTCCTTCGTATAACGAAATTTTTTTACTTTCTTAGCTTTCGCAAGTTTAGGGTTAATATACGAAGCAAATTCGCACGTTACAAATTCGGAGATTCTGACTTTCGGCTTCAGATCTGACCGTACAAGTCCGGTTCCTCATTTAGCGTCGAAAACATCCAATTTAATTTTCCATCTTTAACCTTGCTAATTCACATTTTGCAACTAAAAATTAGATTTAATCTCCGAGACGGGCTTTTTGTCTTTACAATGGCAATAATCCGCCGATGCAGAGCTTCGAAGATTCGAGGCGAATGTTTCGAGGCATTTAGATGTGGCTAATCGGTCATCAAAGCTGGATTAAAAACGGATCTCTAACTTAAGATTAACGGAACAGTCTTATTGTACCGATCACAACGAAGAAGCCGATGAAATCTTTTTCTAGCATGGCAAAAGCGTCGAGTTATCGCGTAGTTTAAAAAACGGAAAAAACGCTAAAATCCAATCTCCGATTCGGGAACGAACAGCTTCGTTCTCTATGCCGGCAGAGTTAGCGCGTTGAACGATGGAACTTAAATAAAAATTAATACACGCGCGCACACACACACACACACACACACACACACACACATATATATATATATATATATCTTTCGTTAGTCACACACACGTACATACACGTACACATACCGGGAAGATTAAATGCACGAAAAATTGCAGCAATTAATTCAATTCTCTCGGTTTAATCGACTCTAGACAGTAGGACGGGATTGTATCGAAAGCGCAAGAAACAAACGGAGGGGAAAAAAGAGAAAGGAACAAGATAATAGTACAAAAATTATTACACTTATCTCCCGTTTAGAAAAAACATTTCGAGTACAAGCTTTATTTATTTGTCTCATCGTATATTGCCGCTCTCCGCGATTACAATTTGCACTCGAGGATCACCCTCGAAGCGTGTCAACGATCCTGTCTACAAACGAAAGAAGCAACATCCTAATCTCCCTCTCCCTCGAGTCTCCCCCGAAACACAAGGGGGGACCCTGCGTTGTTTTCCCCCTTGATCGATTACGCGTATTCCCGAGGTCAGTATTGAGTAATTTCGAGAGCGTTTTGCGAATTTCGCCGGGTGTTCACGTACGATAAGTACGCGAAGAGATCACGGCGACACTTGGAGGAGGAAGGGAGCGGAATCACGAACGCGAAGGACGAGGAAGCAGGATGAGAGAGAAGAAGAAGAAGGACAAGTAGAAAAAGAAGAAGCAGAAGACTTATATGACGAGATCGAAGCAACGAAGATAACGCATTCAGCCACGTTGATTATTAGGAGTCAGTTGAAGCTGCAGATAAAGCGAGGTCTTCTTTCGTCGTTTTTTTTTTTAAAGCTCGACTCGCATTCGACAGCTCGTAGAACGTAGGTGTTATCTCCCTTAACCCTCCCTTGCCTCTATCCAATCCAGCTCACCCGCCCTGTCCCTTAATTCTCTCCTTTTGCGCCAATCGCGCCGAGATCACAGTAAGGTTTAACTCCAAAGAAAGATTGTACATTACTGTATTTACACGAGGGCGACGTACCTACCTTGTTAAATCATACGATGAGGAGAGAAGGTCGGTAGAGAAACCTGACGCAGCTCGAGAATTGACATCCGTCGGTGATCCTGAACAACCTGGATCACTCATGATCCTGGAGTGAACCTTCGTGAACCTTACTAAAACAGCTAGAGATAGCGAGAGGTTCTCACGTAGTGAATTTCTTATTGGTATCGCGACAATTTTTAAGAGGTACGCCAGGGCCGGGGTAGAGTAATTCATCGATATAGTTTTGTAAATTTGCTAGTCCACCAATTTGTCACAAATTACGAGATCCGAGTATCGAAGTTTTTTGCACCTATCGCGACTTTTCCTCCTTTTTAGCGCGCTGTGCACTTTTGAGATGCCAAGAGAGCAGACAATAGCCAACGGGTGTCGATCTCAAGCGGCGCGGCTAGTAAGGATCGAGCACAAATAACTGGCGTAGCCTTTTCGATTTCGCTTGTCCTTTGCTTTCTCTCGGAGAGGGAAAAAATGCCCTTTGAACGCTTCGTCGAACGAATGTGTTACAAGAGGAGTGAAAGGGTTCGTATGAATTCCGAGAATGAGAGAGAGAGAGAGAGAGAGAGAGAGAGAGAGAGAGATTGTGCTACGACGCGAGATTATTAGGCGTATAGTGATCAC